AGAGCAGAATTGCTTGCGCATTTACTTGAATTCTCAAGAGCGGTTTTTGCTAAAGTAACTGATGCCACTGTGCTTGATGGTCAGTCAAAGTGCATTGCCTCGCAGCGTATTAATATGCAGATTTTCCCACTTCACATGCTTAATTATGTTGCCCTGAATCTTTCTGAAGCAGTCTTAGATTTGATATCACTTTCAGTAACCGGCTAACTTTTCAGTTTTAGCTACAAATGTCGTCTTTCATTACAAACATGCTCTGTCGATGACTCGATTTACACTGACATTTGTAAATGTCTATTACTTTTTCAGAAAAAAGCATTTTAATCCTTTGCTTCTATGAAAACTTTACTCATTAAAAAAACAAAATAGAAAAGGCTTTTTCTTGTTCTGAGATGTAATATGATGAAAGTATTCCAGTATTCCATTAAATGATTACAGAATAATTTTTACTAATTCTTACTAGTTTATTCGTTCTTTTTTTTGCATAATTTTAATTAAATTGGATTGAAAGTAATCAGAGAATTTAGATAGTAATTTTGGAGATCTCAAAATAAGTGAGTGCAATGCATATTGATTTGTGCAAGTTTATCTTCCATATATATTAAATTATGATATTGTTTAAAAAAATTAAGAAGGAAAAAGTGGAAAAATGATCCAGTGAGGCTTGGCTATCGCACTTAGTGTCGGGGCTGACCTATGTGGCTATCCCGAGTTGGGATCAACCAGCAGCATAGTTTTTGCGTTTGGAGGCATAGCTTCCGCGCTAATCTCCGATGTTAAGATTAAAGCAAAAATGGAACTGGTTCGGAACTGAAAATACTCCTCGAGAAATGACTTTATTGTGAATAGTTATTTGAATTGATAAGATGATAATTTGATCGTATTCGTATTGTACAACAATAACGGTCACAGCAATAACTTTTCAGCAAATAAAACAATTCATTAAGTCGATAATGTATTTTAGGCTTGATAATTTGTGAACTTCCGAAACAACAATGGCTTATGCGCGTGAATATGAATCAGGCACAAGGTTAGAATGTGACTTTACTTTTTCACTTACTACTCATAACTTTTTCAGGTTTAGTTATTTTTGTTAAGCATTCGCAGTTATAGAGCTGATTTTGTCATTATTGCTGCGAATATTATATTTAGGTGTCAAACTTGACTTGATTACTTTCATTTTTATTAGGTTTTATTATTCTCGAAAGAGTGTTGTCTTGATTTATTTTTATTATTACAAAATTCGAATCAAAGTAAGCATATTTGCATTTTAAAATTTCTTGATCTATGAATATTTAAAAATGCTACATTATTAGATAGATTTCTCAAATTTGATACTTTGAGTGAAATTTAGTGCCATGTTATTAGCAATATGTTAATGTTTTGTAGTGGTTTGAATTTTGATCGTTTTGTTGATCAGTTCGATGAGCCTACACTGAATCGAGTCCGTCAACAGTACTGGACAGCAAAGCAGTTAATCAGGAAGACACTCGGCAAAAAGGTTTCATATGTTTATAGCTCTAAACTATTTGTTGTATATGTAGTTTGTATTTTATAAATTTAAGCATTCTCTATAGGAAGATGAGTATCTACTAGCGTCAGACGCTGAATTTGACGCTAAATTAACGCATTTCCGTTGCATTCAACAGACTTCTGAACGAATGCTTTGTTGTATTGATGATTATCAGCATTATCTTGGCGGTACTTAATTTTATTATAATTTTAAAAAATTTTCTCTAAAACTTTGAATCAACAATGAAATCTTTTTCATTATTTCAATTTGAATATTATACTTGTCAAGGTTTTTTTTTACTAATATTGCATTAATACGAATTCTTCGACTGATCAAATAAAAGAATTCTTCGATTGATCAAATAAGAGAATTCTTCGATTGATCAAATAAGAGAATTCTTCGATTGATCAAAATAGTATTCACATTTTCAACTCAAAAACTTATTGCGTATGAAAGATTGAAATACAATTTTATGTTAAGAACTGAAGACTTTAAAAAAAACAAATGATTAGTGAGCCATTGAAAGAGAAGGTTTTCAAGATATTTTTTGTTATTCATAAAGAAATGTAATGCAAATCAAATGATTTTCGCTGAATATAGAATTGGGAGAGCGGGAATTTGAACTCAGTAAGGTGTTAAAAATGGAAGGTGAGGCAGAGGTGACAATTGTTGGACGCGCAATGATTGCTGTGAGTAGAGCGCTAACTGTATCAGCCCATCACAGGTCATTTGCTTAAGTATTTTTGATCATTTTATGATTTTTGAAGCTTTGATTTTTTGACATTTGACCTTTTTAAGATGACTCTCATTGAAAATGAACAAACTTTTTTTTTGCAGTCAGAATGTGTGTATTTTGTTTAAATTTTAGCTGTAATAAAATGAAATACAATTGTTTTGTCAATTCTTTGTCAGTCAGTCTTCTCCTTCAGCTAGCACTATCTGTGAAGTAATTCTACAGTTTGGTTATTTCAGTATTTTCAGAACTTAATTGCATTTTTGATTCGTATTTCAGATTACAGATTCGAAGTCCTCTCTTAAAATTCTTTAGAGAACTTCATGTTTTCTCAGAAAGAGCAGTTTCTGACTGCGCTGATACGGTAAATGCTGCAGAAAAATCTCGAACAGAATATCGAGGCTCGTTGCTGTGGATGAAAAGGACGAGTAAAGAGGTTATTTCCCTTTTGTAAATAACTCAATTTTTACTTAAGCTTCAACTAAGAATAACTTTTGAAATTTAGTTAAAAATTTTTGTTTTTTTAATCAATAAATTTTTTAATTATCTGGTGAAAGAAATCGTGATAAGATTAAGATTAAGATTGTATAGTGTTATTATCATTTAAGCTGAAGTTTAGCAGCGAATATATTAAAATTTTTTATTATTTCAGCTGGATCCTGACGCAGAAAATGCTCTAGAAAAGTTTAGAACTGCACAAGCAGTTGTTAGACGAAATAAAAAACGATTAGATGGCTTAAAATTAGATACTCTTCAAAAAGTGAACTTACTAGCAGCGAGCCGGTGTCATTTATTTTCACAAGTAAGCTTTATTCTTAAATGATTACTGTATTTATATTTGACATTTGAAAATACTGATATATTAAACTATTGCATTACAAAATTTTGCAGTAAAAAATATCAACAAATAAGTCTTAATGAGTGTTTTAGAAGTTTGTATTTGATAAGCAGTATAAAACGCAAAGATTAGATCAGTTGTTTTCACGCAAGAATCAAATCAGGAATAAAAATAAAATCCTTTCTTGCATTTGTTTTTTACATTCAGTTGGAAATTGAATATAATTCATTTTAATGAATTGATAAATGATAATTCTAGCAGTATTTACGAACTTGTATTCAAAACCAAAATTGGTTTCAAAAGGACTAAATATAATAATGAGTACTGTAAGAAATAATATTTTTCTTGAATTTCAAATTTTTTTTTCTTTCAGTTAATTTATTTTAATTAGTTTTAAAGAATGCTCACGAAAATAATTTAATTAATTCAATTTTATGACAGATGTTGGAATCGTATCAGAAATTAATACACAACTATTTCGAGCAAACAGCCTTGACATTCAAAAAAATTTACTATTCCCTTTCCGATCACAAGCAGAATAATGAATTTCAAATATTAACGGTTGGTTTCTGAAGTGTTCACTTTGTAAAGTTTGCTATACTATAAACATATAATCCTTTAAGTTTTTTGAAAAGTGTAATGAGACAAATTTTATTGTTAAAATATTTCTACTGACCTTAATAAGAAAACTTCTCACACATATCCTAATCACAAATTCTTTCTTTTTTTTGTAACTGTATTAAATCTTTATTTCTCAAATAAAAACTGGAAATCTTTGACAAATTTAGGACCTGAATGAACCTTTAATTGTCACCGATGATAATGATGAAAAGGAGATCAAGAACTCAAAGTCTGAAAGGTAGTCACTATTTTTAGTCCAATTTAGTTTTTTTTTTTTGAAAAATTGATAGTAATTTCAATTTGAATTACCTTTTTTAGCCTTATTGAATTGGATGAACGTGAACAAGAATTGGAACAAGTGATACACGATTTGGAAAGTTTCAATGCTCTTGGATTATTAGATAGTCGTTTGGACAGTCCATTGGGATTACCGGAAGAAGCTCAAAATGCAAATGACTATGATAAAAGTGAAACAACGGCAGAAATATTGCTTCCTATTGAAGCATCTGTACCGAGGAAATTACCAGTTGCTAATGTACCTGCCATAGCTCCACCACCGGGATGGAAACCTAACTGTAACTTTTTCATTGAGCAAAGGGATTTTTAAATTTGATTTGTAACTTTTGTAACCAAATCAACTAATACCATTTTGAAAAAACTTGATTTCGGACCAAAAACAAAACTATAATATTTTTACTTTTTTCTCATTTTAAAACATAATCACTTTCAAGCAAGACTTTTTCTGATAAAAAATTACAAAAATGAATTTTTTTTAGCATCCCAGCATTTGCCTAATGTTGTGAAATTACTTTCTTTGAACGACGAAACTTCTGAAAATAACTGTTCGTCTGATTTGTCAAGACTGATGTCAAGTTCAAGTTCATCTTGTGATGCTGCAACTTCCAAAGCAACTATAACATCACAAACATTAACAATGCCATCGCAGTTGTTAGATTTTCCTTTCGACAAAAACGGCTTTCCTAATCCGTTTTCTGAATCGAACAATTCAAATTTTGATGTAAGTCTTAACATTGCAAAGCTAAGACTAAGCTCATTTCTTATGTAAAATATATCTCTGAGTAAATTTTTAGATGTGGAAAGAATTGCTGAATGAGTTCGAAACAACTTCTACCAGTAATAATGAAGTGTTCAGAAGCTGCTGATTGCTGTTCTTCATTTGTTGTATTCATAATTTTAATTTCTTACATATTGGTAATTTTATGTTGGTGTACATTTATAAAATATTCTGAATACATTCATAAACATAAGAATTGCAGAGTCTTAATTTGAAAGTTTTGAATTTGAAAAAATAAAAAATATAATAAAAGCATGTGATAGATCAAAATTTTTGCAATTTGTGCTTGCAATAAAAATTGTTCAAATGCAATTAATATCAAACTGCACTCCAGCACAAGTTCATCCTCATAAAATTTGTTTTGTATGAAACTGTTTTGAATCGTTTTTTTGTTTATTTTGTAAATTTTACGGTAAGAAAATGATAATAAAAGATTTTTGCATTGGTCAAAAAGCTTAATTGTACTGCGATTTACGTTCTGAAATTTTCAACAGTTTCTTCAGAAGACGTTCATTAGCAGCTTGAATTCTCTTTTCTTCTTCCCGCTGGAATATACAAGTTGATGAATATATTGAATTCATTTTTAAATATTTTTCAAATCAAATCATAAAAAATTTTTACTTTTGAAGGTAAATCTTCAAACATTAATGTGCTTACATCAGTAATAATAATAAGGATAACCACTGGTCAATTAAAAATATTAAGAGTGTTAAAAATCTATTCACAATACTTTAATTTGCAACATTTTGGAAAAATGATCGACATTTATTTTAATTTGGAATAACTGTTTAAAGTTTTCTGAAGAAGTTTTCAGTGAATGAATAAATTGATGTCTTACGCAACTAACAAATTTTATGCAAAAATTTAGAATTAATGAATAAATGAATTTAATTTTGAATTCCATTAAATTTTATTTCTGAAAGAACGCAAATAATTGTGTAATTTTTACTAAAATGTAATGTATGCGAGTAGGAAATTAAGTATTAAAAAAAGTTAATTAGAAAAATATAACGGAAAATGAATAACTGCAAATGATATATCCAAGGTAATATTTAAATTTACTGCTCAAAAAAGATGACAAATAAAAATGACAACAATTATTGAATTTTATCTTCAACAAATTTTTAAAAAAAATTAACAAAAAGTATACCTTTTGGAATGACATTTTAGTACGTAAAGCTGGCATAGACTTAGATCGGCTTCTACTCTCTACAACAGCTTCAGCATTTAGCACCTAAATACTTCTACTTAAGTTTAGATAACTTTCATAAGTAAAAAATTTTTCATTATTAAATAGAAATTTACAAATATACTTAATTATGATAAATTTTTGATATTCCTAAATAATTATTAAAATATTATTAAATGATATTTTTTTCTAGAATATTGTTGTAAGCTATGTATTAGGAATCAAAAATTTGTTTACTTTCTCTTTATGCTTGATGAAACGATACAGATGTTCTTGGTGTTGTATCAGATTACCATTCATTGCAAACTTTGAAGAAGAAAGTGCTGGAAAAGATTGTACTTATAAATTAAACACTTCTGTTTTAAAGTTAGCAGATAAATTTAATATTTAAAATGTATTATTACACATAAGCAAAATCAGTAGTTGATAACGGTATCATTTATCAACGGTACCTTTTATCAACGGATTAACTTACTTGAATGCTAACTTGAGAGTTGGATTATAGTTTCAGTTTTAAGCTTGGCAAAGCTAAGCTGCTTGCCAAGTATCACCATAGTAACGATTATAAAAAGCCTTCAAGTAATTTTATTCGTAATAAAATGCTCCGTTTGACATGCTGTAGAAAATAGATAAATTGCTTTAACAGAATGACTGCGAGAATAAAAAAAAATTTCTGACGTATCTGAAATAATAATAATTGTCACTCAGCACAATTATTGTAAAATAACAGATAAAATCGAAAAAGTAGCAGATAAAATCAGATAAAATTACAGATAATATCTATGAACTTAACTTAATGTTTCAAATAAAAAATAGCGCAGACTTTTTAATGAATACTTTGCTTCAATTTTTATTACAATTTTAAACTTTTTGCAATAAAGTTATTTTAGTCTTTAAAAAAGATAAATATTTGTAACTGATGAAAAATGATAAATTACAAAAAGTTACGATGCTTAAAGTTGGTGCTAAAAGTTAGTCTTATATGTCTTATTCTTTTATTATTTACTTAAATAAAATTAATTTCTAATTTTATATGTCTTGTTCTTTTATTATTTACTTAAATAAAATTAATTTTTCATAGAAAATCCTTTCATTTCTTATCATGAAGTATTTGTTTCAGCGTCATAAAAGATTCTTAGCAATCAGAACTAATCCCTGTACTATAAAATTTCTTCTTTTTTTGAATACTTTCATTTATGCTTAATTCAATAAGTAAATTTCTAGTACCAAATTTGCATAAATAGAAAAGGGTAAAGGTTAAAGTAATTATTTGCTAAGTAGTGCCATCATCTGCTTCTGCTTTCTTTCTACTCTCAACTTTAGCATTTGTATACATACATACAGCAAGTGATGCGCTGAAACAAAACGCAAGAACATACGACACTTAAAGGTTATATGAGATCAATTTGCGCTGCATCTGGCACGCAGCATCGCCGTTATCTCTCAAATTAATATATTTCAAAAAGTGACCGGCCTATTTGTTTGGCCTCTTTTCAACTAAATAAAACAATGTGTTTGTCATGCATTGCCAGAAATCTTAATTCAATTCACTCATACACTCTCCCATTTATTTTATATCAATTATTGTAATGTACAGAATTTGCTAATGACTTGTTGTTAGTTTTAATTGCAATTGCAAGCAATTCTCCACTTTAATTACTTTTTATATTTTTCGACCTCATTTCATTCTCGCACTGCAAATTAGGCACTTAAAAGTTGACACTGTTTGATTTTAAGTCAAAAGTAAACACATACCAATTTTAAACTCTCTTATTACTCACTGTACTTTTTAGTCGTCGTTATGTTACGGTCTAAAGTGGAAAAGTAATCAGATCAAATAAAAGCCCGATTGATTGATCAAGTGAAGAACTTTCATTACTGTATTACCGATAGCTTGTTATCACTCTTAGTTTGCATATTTTAAGTTTTAAGTATTTGCAATATCACCAATAATTAATATTGTTAAATTTTAGCAAATTTAGAAAATATTTCAATTTATGGAAATATAATGGCAGATTTTTAGTTAAATGCTAGAAAATTTTTAATTTATGAAAAATAATAATATTCAAAATTTTAATTTATATTTAAAATGTAATTTATGAAAATATGATGGATCAGTTAAATTTGAACTGAGTGCTAATTGTGAGAATAGTACTTACAACTGTACTGATTATTATGCCTAAAACAATTGAGAAATTTTGACCATTTATATTACTTGTTAGCAATGAAATTTGAGCTGAAAATTTTAAACTTTGTGAAATTTTTGGATTCTTATCTATTGTGTAAAAATTCAGATTAAGAAAAATAAGTTATAAGAATTAAGAAAAGAATTGAGTTGTAAGACTTGAAAATTTTTTAATTCAATTTACATACGAATTTTGAAAGCTACGCATTCATTCATTTCTCTTGTAATTAAAATCAATTTTTTTTAAAAAAAACTAAAGAAATGAAAACAATTTTCGTTATTAAAGTTTTGCCCTAAATTGCAAGAACTGCTGCTGAGAATCGCTATTGATATCTTTCAAGTGCAGTAATCTAAATTCATAATTTAATGAGCCATCTACACATTCATTGAAACTCTTACAAGGATTCAATTTGGCACATACTTTTCCCCCAAAAAAGCCTAAAAAGTAAGACTTTTCCGATAATTTATACGAATTAAGTTAAGGATTGAGAAGAGATGCAACCATTAATGCCTTTTATCCGCATTCATTTTATCCAATTTAATTTCCAAGCATCTCTTCTCTGCTATTTTTTGCAGTGAAAACATCAAACATATAAATAAATCGAAATTACTGGTTCCCGCCGGTACACTGGTTGTTTTCTTATGTGCTTCAAGTATCTGTCTTCAACAATCTCGTCTGTTTTCCATTTGTTTTCATTTATGGTTCCAGGCTCGGTTTTTCCGTTCATCTATCATTTCCTGTTTGCTATTAACTAGCTGGCAGATCAACCGTTCGACAACTCGGCAGATCCGAGCAATTATTTTGTATAACTTTTTTAAATATAAAATGAAAAATGAAAGTGCCTGATTGTAACAGCTTCGTTCTTTCTTGTATTTAAAACTTCCTTTTCTCTCTTATTATCATTTCTACATAAAAGGCACGGGTTTGTACAACCACGCAGCGATTAATGCAAGACGAAAGTCATTAAATCGCTGATAAATTCATCGAAAGTTATGACCAGAAGTGAATTAAATGATGTTTTTACCTTGAACAGGTACAGAAGTGATTCAGTGAATAACTGTAGCAATGATTAGATCAAATCAATCATAAATCTTTATTGATATTTTTTGGTAATTACTGCAAGTTTATGAAATATACTCTCAAGTAAAGTTTACATTAACTTGCGAGGAATAAAATTTGTAATTATCTTCGCGCTAGTTGGAAGAAAACACAGTGAATATTCTGGAAGGAGTCTTCTGTCTCGGAGTTAATTAGTTCACTAATTTGTTATTGCGTCAGAAAAATGAACGCGAAGACGACAGATTCGCGTATTTTTGCCTAATATATTCTTTTCAAATTGCAAACATATTTCAAGTCATATAAATTTATTAAAATGTAGTAACTGTTTTCACGATTGAAATCATATAATAATGACAAATAAGAATATTCAAAAACATACTTGTCAAAAAAGTTGCTTATAATAAGACTAAATTTAAAAAATAGGCACGTCATAAAACATATTTTTGCTCTTTGATTTAAATAAATATTGCTTCGATAATAATAATGATAATAATAATAATAATAATAATAATAATAAATTAAAACAATAAAGCGTTGAGAAATTAGTTAAAGAGTAC